CCAAATAGCAAAATCAACCAGGTGAGAGATATCTTTAGTGTTGCCAGAAACGATTGTGGCTCCACATTCTCCTTCTTGTATCGCAAGTCCCAATGTCATGTGACTGCGAATCTCAAAAGCATACATAAAAACTCGATCCCAGAACGCAATAGGGATATTCCTTGCATGCATGAATCGACGGTAAAGTTGACTTCCTTCCCGAATTGTGTCTTCTGCCAGTGCTTGATTAGGATGATGAGGTTCGATGGGATGAATCGGCACTTGTCCTTTGTTAGCGACTTCTCAGAATTTCCCTCGAGTGAGTGATTTAGCATCATCAGGTATGAGACATTGGGGAAAACCGAACTGACGGAATAGTTGTGTGAGGCTTGTGTGAACATCGGATTCTTTGTTCAACGGATAAGCATGAGCCTACTGTACTGGTGTAGCATAGACCGCAACGCAAGTGTTTCCTTCAGCTGACTTGCAGGGTCCAAATTTAAGATCAACATAGACATTTGTTTTCAATCTCGGATACTCCAACTGATATTGTACAGGGCGGAAACGGCGAGACCCTTGAACGACCGACCAATCACGAACGGCACGTTGGGTTGTCTTCTCCAGGGTGCGACGAGCACATTCAATACTGGTTCTCCATCGACGAGCAAGTTGGTCCGGCTTGATGAGGTAGGATTTTCTGGAAGTTTTCATCGATCGAATTGTCAAACTGTGTACGCCACATACGACATTGTTGCTGTCCCCTAAAACTTGCGGTAAACGGTCAAGGCAAGCAGCAGTTGGGAGCGTTGAATCAAGTCGAGTGAAAGATGCGAGTTGGTGATACGGTGCTTGATAGTCAGCATCAATCTGTTGTCGCAGAGCTTCTTCTTGGCGCCGAGAGTCAGGATCATAAGGCTGCCAAGGAATGTCTGCAGTCATCCAACGTAATGTGACTGACTGGACTTGGCAGTCCAGTCAGTCACGTTAGAGCGATCGAAGGCCAACGGTCATCGCCGAATATTCAGCCCAAGATCAATCATCCATCATCCACTCACAGCTGCTTCAGACCCCCGTAAATACACCCCAATAGCAATATCAATCACCGTCTATCATGTCCAACAGTAGCTACATTAATGCACTAGTACGCTCTCTCTACGATGAGAGCCAGGAGCACAACGATAGCATGTTAAGTGGAAGCCAGCCCAAGATTCGAAGCCCAAACGCATTCGATTCGCAGTCAGAGCCACCAAGTTTGTTCATACAATCAGCTAACACATGGGGAGGACAGTTCAACCCTGTTCATTTCCAGCGCAACGCGTTTGCGATGATGTCAGCAAGTCCTGTCAATATGGAGAACGGAGCGTTTGCCGCGATGACTGCCGCGTCGCATCACAAATATGAAAAAAACAAAAAAAGAAGCGATCGCGTCAACGAGAAATCGTATTGGGTCAACGGAAGCCACGTAGACGAAACCATCACCTACAACCAGTATACCATCGATACTGCCGTTTTGGCTCCAACTACTGAGTCTAAGCAAGCGATCCTACAACAGTCTGTGAACTCCATCAAGCAGACAAAGACAACAATGGAACACAAGGTGGATTTCTTGATGAAGCGCTACACATCAGTATGCCCAGACGTTCGCTCGCAAGTCAACGCCGCCACCAGCGAACTGTTCGACGTGACTAGTGACGTGTACGAATTCACAAGCCTGCACATCATCGACAACACAGGACAAGCGATCGCTACAGGACCGGGACCAGGACTTCCAGCACCATTTAGAGCCGCGGCCACTTACTTCCGAATCGAGCTCCGATTGGTCCCACGGCTGTGTTCCCTACGAACTGACATTGGAATCGACCCAAAAAAGTTCCCACCATCTTCCAACAGAGCTGTATATGCTCCAGTGCCAAGAGCCCAGAGCCAGATGGACGTATCCATCACTCGCCAAATGATAATGGACCAAGCACATCACAAGGAAATCATTGCAGCAATGGCAGCATTGGGAGAAGAGTTCTCGATGAGGGCCGCGACCAGAGACGGAGAACCCGATAACGAAGCCTAAGAAAAGTGGTCCAAGCAACAGATTGCAAAGACCCAATTCGAAGCGCTCGAACAAGCACTCACGGCCACCTACGTCGGACTACAACAAGGAATGGAGACGCCAAACCAACAACTGGCAAAGCTCAACATGATCTGATACGAAGGAGGCACGATGATGTACGACAGCGTGGCTACTTTATTTGGCAGAATCGCCACGATTCTAAACGGGTTCAACCACAAGAATCCCCCGCCAACCAACCTATCAGACTTGGCAGGAGTAGCGTTCCAAGCCTTCACACAAGAAATCAAGGACGTTGTGGCTGAACACCTAGAGACGGGAGCAGCAGGACCGCTACTTATGGACTACCCCAGCAACCTGTCTCGAATGCACCGCCTACGCGAACGAGCTGAGAAGGAAGAGAAGCGCATCAAGCAACTTGTGGGAATTGCAAACAGCGCGGGACGAATCAGACCCAACAGAAGCTACGTTCCGGGACGATCTGCACCACCAAGACCAGGAGGAAGAGCCTTCGCAGGATTCCACCAACCAGAATTCCAAGGATTCCAGGGAATCCAGGATGAAGGAGGAAAGTGCGAATGGTTGGATACCGCTTGAGGATTGGCACAGTCAAAATGTACATAAAATAAAGTACTAGAAATTGTCCTGACGGGCTCGCTGCGTCAAGACCAAAACCAACAAACACAGAAACTGTTTTCAAAACCGGAGGAAACAGCAATGGATTCCTAGTGCAATGGATAGGAAGGAATCACTGTGCCCAACAAACAACAAACAGTATGATGATTGGCTTCAGAAGGTGATGAGCAATGTTGCTCTTTGAAAGGACGACTGGAGATTGAAATCAATTGACGTCGAATACCATTGCTGTGGGCAGATGTGTTTTTTGTGTTGGTGCAGCGCCGGCCGATTTTGAGTTCTGATGGTACAAAATTGTACAGAAAAAACCCGTACCAAACTTGGTATGCTCACAGAACATCACCGGCCTGTACATTTGCCAGGATATGCAAGGACTGCTACTGCGGTTTGTGGTACTTCTCCACGTACCGGCAGTCTGAGAAGTCAGCCACACATGGAACATCTTCAATGATCAACAAGAACGGTTTTTATTCCGTGCTGGTGGACGAGGAAACAATCAACAAACGAATGCGTCTAAACTACCTATTGAAATGATGTTCAAGCACCTCTGAGCCAATTACAATTTCTATGCTTTCATATCGCAGAGTGAATCCAAAATTGGGGGCTTATTGCACCGCAATTTTTGATGTCTCAAATACTTCCAAGATCCGAAGCATGAAAGTTCTGTCAGAAGTGACGGCAGCTGGTCTTGTGTCAACAACAAACCATTTGTGTCAACAACAAACCATTTGGAAGCAAGGTGAATTAAGGCATGAAAGCGAACGCAATTCTTAGGAGTTGATATCATTGCTATGTTAATGATGAAACGCTTACTTATATTATCTGTCGAATCCAACACAGCTGGATTCGACAGATAATATATGGCGTCCTCAATTGACTCAATATTTTGGGAACCAAGAAAGATGAGTAATGGCCAACACGA